GGAATAACGTAAGAGCTCCACAACTAGCCGTGCTCTCTATGTACTTCCAGGCTCACCTACAATGCAAGAACTACATAAGTCAATGTTTAGTAAGTAAAAATCGTGCATGTCATGAATATGGATAATAACGATATATGTCATTATGCCATTTACTTTAAACATCATGATAAAGAAGCATCATATTCCAATATGCATCAAAGTCGACTAGAAATCATTTCATTTGAAATCTTTCATTTCATTGGACCCTTGACCCACCTACTATGCACTGGATAGAGCTTTGCATAATATCAATATCAATAATCAAATGACCAATATGAAATCGACACCGGTGAGTGGACCATCCTCTCGTGACCACTAGAGGCTCATCCCCTAACTACCCCTATGATTACCCAAGAAGTCTCCCACCCGGCAGCGTCGATAATCATAATATCACAATGGCACAGTCGAGTGGTCTACCCTCCCGTGATCACCAAAGGCCCATCCCCTGTCTACCTTTGCAATCACCCAGGAAGTATCACCCGCAATGCCAAACGTATCACATAAGCATGCCTCACATGCCTCGGTGCCCTAGTAATGGTCAATAAAACATTTATAAAGAAAACTCACTTTGAAATCATGTTTCGCATGCAGAATTTTCAACCACGATCACATGTCGTGCATGCATATGAAAATGTTCATGAATGACATATTTAATGAAAATTGATGTTAATAGGTTCCGCAACCTCATACTCAATTATCATAATCATCATATGATGTGCTATAAGCCTCTTATCAAAGTGATGTAAATATTCCAATACTACCATATCACAAATACTAGGTTCTTGCATCGTAGTTGGAAATGAATTTTTACTTACCTTTCGCCTTTGTGTGTGCAAGCTCCTACGGAGTATATATCAATTTCCTTTTTTGCTCAATGTCGAAAAATCACCTGTATTATCATCTAATATTAAAGATGGTCCTTTATTTAATAACCTTAATACACACAATCCTAAAATACGTCCATTCACGCCAAAACAATTTAGACGAAATCATTATTGCAATTTACCGATGGCATTACAAACTAATCACATAAGTCTCGCTATTTCTCAAGTCCAATTATGGACATCAACATCATCCAATTGTTGTCATTAACCTAGTACTCCTTAGAATCTATTTTCTAGGCCTAAGAGTTCATTAATAGACATATAAATGTTGAAATCACATTAAATATCTAAATGGACAGAATCTGTTTTCTAGGTTTCCATAACCGTCCACTCATTTTTCGAATTCTTTTTCATAACCTTACCTACATTTAACGGCTTCCAAACTTTTACCACACACCTATAACATATATATGAAGATAATCAGGTAATAAGATTGTGAAATATGAAGTGTTTTAAGCTTCAAAAATAGTCTATTTTCCACTACACAAAATCAGGCAGTTTTTCCCTTTGACTGTTTTCGGTTTCCATTTTATTAGTATGATACTAATAGAATTCCAGGCCATTAAAAATCATTTCTACACTTCATACTTACATATAAAAACATTCATATTGATAGATATAAGTTACACACTAAGTATCATCCCAAAATCAAGGTACAAACTACTCAAATTCAGCAACCTATATCTCTGCCCAGGTTGTTTTCCCTCAAGTTCTTGTAATTAATTACCCCTATTTTAGCATCATAAAATAATTAACAACACTCCAAAATAATCACAAGAAAGTTCATATATTCAAGAAATTATAAATCCCTTAAGAAATAATGGATACAAACCTCAAAACTGTGAAGTAACTCAGTAGTCCAGAAATTACAGCTTCCTATTTCTATTTCTCTTTAACTCTGTCACTCTCTTTTTCACTTAGGGACGAGATAAAGAAGCTAATATATTATCTAGGAGATAAATAAGTGGTCCTTAAGAGGTTGAGGTCGTGTTTCTTGCTTAAAGACTAAGGATTTTGTGGGATGCAGCCACATGAAGCTACTTTGGTGAGTAATAAGCAGGAGGTGGCTTCTTACTGCAATATTTGACCTTTCTACCATTGTATTTGGACTTATTTATGCCTTATAAGATATCTATATCCATCCTACACGAGATCATGCCTTAAGGTTGAAGAAATTGAGTGTTAAAATGACAAACATACCTAGCATGAGGTGATTACTTGTAGTAAAAATCTGATTTTATATCTATCATTTTCGGTACAAATCGAATGTCATTGGCTTATTTTGATGTGTTTACAATCTATTTCACTTGCCCTAAGGTCCCAACATTTTTTGTATAGCTAATTCTTCAACTGGTCATTTAATTTCTTACTCGATTGACACTCGATTGCCAACCGATTTCAACAATTCGCACCTCAATATTTATGACATCATATGAGACATATATTATTAAATTTTGATTATGTCACTTCATGCCTCATGTCCAAAATATGTCAATTACCTAATTAGGGTTTAAGGTGACATCGATCAATCGAATGAAAGCTTAAACCTTTTGTTGATACTAATTTCCGACATTCTCGATTTTCCATTGCTTACTAAACCAATTTCTAACATTTAGGTAACCTAATTTTCTATCATATCTCAATATAAAATTCACCACCTAGGTCGAGGAGTCAAAGATTATTTCCATGTAAAGATTTTAAAGCCTCGATGATCGAATGCACTGTTTTAAGAGAAAGCAATTAGGAAATCGATGCAAATGACAATGTAATTAGCATGAAAATGCATGAATCATATTAGCCATATGTATAACGTGAAGTGGTAATATCAGAAGATTTACATAGCTTCGATAAGAAGTTCATTGTACATCATATGATGGTTATGGTCATTGAGTATGCAGTTGCGATACATATTGACAGCGATTTACATTGAATATGTCATTTATGAATATTTTCATATGCATGCACGACATATGATTATGATTGAAAATCGTGCATGCGAAACATGATTTCAAAGTGAGTTTTCTTTATAAATATTTTATTGACCACTACTAGGGCGCCGAGGCATGTGAGGCATGCTTATGTGATATGTTTGACATCGCGAGTGATACTTCCTGGGTGATTGCAAAGGTAGATAGGGGATGAGCTTTTGGTGATCATGAGAGGGTGGACCACTCGACTGTGCCCTTGTGATATTATGATTATTGGCGCTGCCGGGTGGGAGACTTCTTGGGTGATCATAGGGGTACCTAGGGGATGAGCCTCTACTGGTCACAAGAGGATGGTCAACTCGCCGGTGTCGGTTTAATATTGGTCATTTGATTATTAATATTGATATTATGCAGAGCTCTATCCGGTGCATAGTAGGTGGGTCAAGGGCCCAATGAAATGAAAGGTTTTAAATGAAATGATTTCGAGTCGACTTTAATGAATATTGGAATATGATGCTTCCTTATCGTAATGTATAAAGTAAATGGCATAGTAGCATACATCGTTGTCATTCATGTTCATGACATACATGATTTTTGCTTACTAAGCATTGTTTTATGTAGTTCTTGCATGGTAGATTAGCCTGGAACTACATAGAGAGCATGGCTAACTGTGGAGCTCTTATGGGATTCCAGAGTTCGATGTATATAGATAACGACCTGTAGGATTATTTTGTGGGCTGCTATTTTGCGCTTATGGCGTATTTTGTTGTATGTTGGGGATCCTGTGTGGCGTCGTCAGGTGGTGACACAAGCTCCATCAGATAAGTTTCTATTTTGTTCGGTGTTGAGATTTAAATTTATTGCTTTTTTCAAAGGGATTTTAGAAGTCATTCTAATTTTTTTATCTTCCAGAGAAATCGTCAAAAAGTAACAAATTCTTATGATCTTTCTATTTTTTGGGATTTTTATGTGATTCTTTTGGTAAAAAAAATCTTTATCTTTACATTTCCATATGTTTGCTGTATTTTATTTCAACTATTAATTATTATAATTGATATTTATTTTTTGAAAAAAAATAGGCGACAATGATCTGCATAAATAATTCTGAGGCTCTCCATCTGGGAGTGGGAAGTAATTTGGTCGTGGCCTTGGTCTTGAGGAATCCCAGGTTTGTATAGAGTCAACGGCGTCCTTCTTTGGATGGGGAACGACGACTACTTCTCCAATCTATTCCAAATTGAACCTGTTAATCTCGTATGCAGCTCAAAAACACATGTATTTTCTTTTCTTTTTCCCTTTGCAAACTTTTTCCCACTATACATGATGGTTATTAGGTTTTCTTCATTGTAGTTGTGTATAATTTTAATTCATGTTAATTTGGATTATTCTTCTTAGACAATAATGCTGAAGGCTTCTTTAAATCTATGGTTTTTTTTTTAGTTTCCAACTATCAACAATTTAAAATGACACAGACTTGGGGCATAGAAATGGAGCTGCATTTGCTGTTATACATGTACTTGTTTGTTCGTTAATGGTTCGTTCTTTCACTATTTTTTTTTATGTATACGTTGTACTATTTTCTTCCTGGAAAATATGAATTGATTTTTAAATAACTTGTACAATTATAGTTCCTTCGCTATATGGTGAGTTGTATTTTGATTTTTCTTAAATAAGCATTACAATTTTGCATATTATGGAATCTATAATTTATTCAGCGCTATTAACCATTAGAGGCTCCTGTACACTTCTACAGATATCATTATCTTTTTGTCACGTTCATCTCTTGTTAATGATTTCATATCCCAAAAAAGAAGCCGACACAATCCATTGATCCCTTCTATAAAGAAGACTATTTATATACTCACAAAGTCGTATAAGATTGGAAATTCGGAATTGAAAAACAAGTACACTTGCATAGAAATCAGACAGTTTTGCATTAAGCCCCCATTTGAGTCTCATTATTTCTCATTACATTAAATTAAATTTTCTCTCTCATATTTTTAACAACACAATCTTTAATAAAATAATATTACATATAAATCAAAAACTTTTCAACCACTAATCTTTCAAAAAAATACTATTCATCTCATTACAATTTAAAAATAATGGGGGCTCAAACGGCCCCTAACTTTCCAAAAAACACCACCACTTGAATAGAAATCGGAGAGTACGAATTCAAATATGTTAATTTCATATTTCCATTCTCTTTGGCTAATTTCCTCTTTGGAAATGAATTTTTGGCCGTTCGATTCTTGGGTTTACCTTAAAATCTTTTGTATGTTTCAACTAACTCTTACTTTCCATTTCTTTTATTCAATCTTCGTTCTCCATTTTAATTGTATTTTGCCTCAATTGTTTCAATTCTTTGATTTGGAATATTTACCTATGTACAACTTTAGGTTCTTTCTTAGATCAATAGTAAATAAGCTATTGAAATTGGACATACTCGTGTTTTATCTATAGGTTTCACTCTTTCTCCAATTTTGTTACGCATATATATGAATTTCGCTTCAATTCAATTTTTTTTTTCTAGGTTTTTACAGAGAGATGCTCAGCAGAAATTAAATGATTCATTCAGAGAGCCTCCGTAAGGAAATCACTTTATCATATATGTATTATTTTTTAATTTTTATTTTTATGAACTTCCCTTGCAAGGGGTTCTTTTAATGCTAACCATGTCATTTGCTGGGGAAATTGTCATTGTTGTACCTAAAATGGAGCAGAACAACACTTTGCAATAGTAGAGAGCTTCGTCTTCTTCCTCATCTCAATCCATAGATTTAATTTTAGGGTCTGGTTCTTTTCATTTTGTCTGAATCTTTTTCCTTCATGTAAAATACTTCTTCTATTTTTCATTCTTTTTGTTCTCCACTTTTCAATTTCTGTTGTGAGTAATTTCTTTAATTTTCTTTGAAGCTTAAATGATTTATTCAAGCAATTTCCACTTGGAGTGTTTATTATAGTTTTCTTTATGATTTCTGATTGTCCTTTTAGGATAAATAGTGTTGTGATTCAGATATGATGGTGTTATGGTGGCCTTTTTTGCTACTCGAATTTACATACGCTATGTTTAGATTCTCCCTTATGCTCATCCCTTCCAACGTACCGCTATTGATGTTGATGCCTCTAATGGTTCAGCTCTATTCTACTTACTCTGCTTATGTGTTCTTTGTTTTTTATTTTTTCAATTTTGTATAGATTTTGTGTGTTAAAAAGTGAATCTATATGAATGCTGGGGACACACTCATAGACTACTTGATTATCTATTTCTATTGAAATGCAACTAAAGGTTTAGGAAATGAAGAAAACAAGAGTTCTGCTAAATTTCTGTTTCTCTCACTTTTTTAAACCATTAGAATTTGTGTATAAAATTTTGCAGCTGCTTAATAACTATACTATATTGTAAGTTCATTTAAGATTGTGTTTAACATTTCTCTCAATTGGATATTTACAAAATTTGACTTTCTGTAGCTTTTTAAATTATCAGTTTTTGTATGTATAAAAGTTAGGGCAGAACTAATCATGAAAATAATTTATGTGCATTGGTGACTGAGTTTTCTATGAATTGGATGATTAAAGTGTTGGATGATGGGAATCAAACAAAGGAAAATAGCTTCATCTTTTTAAGTTTTTTAAACACTGTTTATTTTGCTACTAGGATAAGTAATTTTCTTTAAATGGTGTGACTTTTACCTTCTATTAGATAAACTTTATTTGAACTACTTATTTCCTTTATGTATTTTTATTTGCGTCGAATGAAATATTAAGATATTAAACAAATTCTGATATTAGCTTTGATTCTATCAGATATTCCAAAAAAATAAAAGAAAACCATTAAAACAAGGTGTTGATTTCATTAGTGATGAATGGGACTTCAAGCATGCTTTGTTAAGCTTAAATTTAGTCTAAAATCACCTTTAAATTTTGTATCAAACTTGTTTCACTGTGCTCATTAGTAAAACCTTTCTTTTAATTTTAAGTATATTGGCAAAATTATGTTATCTGTTGAGACACATAACTTATTGCCAATTCAAATCATTTGTTTATACTTTCACCAAGTCATACATAGAACTTCTCTTTTACCATTAAATAAATTAGCTAAACATGAACTTCCTTTTCTGATAGAATGAAAGGAAGAGAAAACACTTAGTGAATGTTTTTACATTGTATATTCATTATTCTTTTTCTACTGTGGAACTTAATCTGATTTTATTACAAACAGTATAAACCATCTGTTGCTCTATTTATACCACAAAACAATAAGTTCTAGTAACTATGATATTTTTTTTTTTTTTACATGACAATGATGGCTTAAAGTAAAAATTGGAGAAGAATTTATTCACCTTTGGGATTGTCTTAATTTGGCACTTGTGTTTGTATGCTACATAAGGATTTTTTTCTAAGTTAATATAGCCCTTGTTTTAGTCACATTATTTCTATAAGAACGCATTTTTGAATGGTGTATTGATGGAGAATGTATGATTAAAAAATAAGGAAATTTTTTGAATTTGCGTGTAATATTATTTTATTGAAGAATGTGTGGTTGAAATGATGTCAAATCACTATTTAAAAATATTTTTTTTGAAAGAATGTAGTTCAAATAGGGCTTTAGAGTACTTCTATCGTAGATAGTACAAGTTAGTATCTTCTCAATTTGTGACTGAATTTTCATTTTGATACCTTCAAGAAGACAAACTGATAAAGTCCAGTGTTATGAGACTACAACAATGAAGTACCTGGGCTACTTCCCTGCACTAAAACCTGGTGAGGTTAGAGGATGCTGGTTTTTTATGTATTGGCCTTTTCTCTATATTTAGTTCTTTTTCCTTCCTTTAACTAATATATTCTATGTACCTGGATTATTCAATCTAGGTAACAAGATATCTTGTTTTCAGGATGTAGAGTTGATTACACTTTCGATATATCATCTTGATTAATAGCTCATAAGGACAGAAGTTTTAATTTATTTTGTTAATGGTTAGTCTTAAATTTCTTCAAGACTTCGTTACATTAAAATTAGAAATTAAGTAATGCAAAGCAATTCCAACTTTAGGCCATGTCATTTCATCCAAGGGGATAGAAGTTGATAAATCTAAAATTGATTTAATTCTTTCTTTTCTTCCTCCAACATGTTTGAGGGAGATTCGTTCTTTTCTTGTACATGCAGGATATTGTCGAAGGTTTATCGATGATTTTTCAAAGAGTGCAAGACCATTATATAGGTTGTGTTACCATATATAACGGCGAATATTTGGGAGAATGATTTGTTGCTAATTTTCAAGAATTGTATCTTTAATTTATTTAGTTTCCTTTTAGATCAAATAATTGTAAATATATATACTATACACAACACAATGTAAAGGCAAGTTTTGACAGAAATTTCAGGCAATTTGTTCGGTCTTTTTGTCATGGTATCAGAGCTAGGGTTCTAAGCTCTTACTTGCTATGAATCTCGCCTCATTCGGTGTATTGGGGACCATTGTCGGTGCCTCTCCGGGAGATCTCCATTTCGGGTTTTGGGCGTATGGGTTCTGTCACCCGTCTGCGTATTTCAGGTTCGATTGTTCTTCTGCGTGTTGGGCGTGGATTAATTGCTGTCTGTGGCTCACTTAGTTGTTTCAATTTTGGCTCGTTATTTTATTTTAGTTTCAGCACGTGGTTTATTTTTATTTTTTGGTATGGGTTCTTCATTTGGTTGAATATTTTATTCATCATGTCATTTGATAAGTTAGACTCATTTATTATCCGCTTCAATGGAAAAAATTACTTGTCTTGGGAATTCCAATTCCAATTATTTGTGAAAGGAAAAGAGTTGTGGGGACATCTTGATGGTAGTGATCCCACTCCTAAAGATGTTGAGGCTTTGTCGAAGTGGGAAATTAAGAATGCTGAAGTTATGACTTGGATTCTTAGTTCAGTCGAACCGTATCTTATTCTCAATCTGAGACCTTACAAAACTACTGCTGTTATGTGGGATTACATTAGTAAGGTTTACAAACAAGACAACACG